AGGTCCTCGGTGATGAGTCCACGTCAGGTCCTCGGTGATGAGTCCCGTCAGGTCCTCGGTGATGAGACCACGTCAGGTCCTCGGTGATGAGTCCACGTCAGGTCCTCGGTGATGAGTCCACGTCAGGTCCTCGGTGATGAGACCACGTCAGGTCCTCGGTGATGAGTCCACGTCAGGTCCTCGGTGATGAGTCCACGTCAGGTCCTCGGTGATGAGTCCACGTCAGGTCCTCAGTCAGGGACGTCCCTGGCCAACTTGGGGCCCCAAGCGACATTGTGAGATGAGCCCCCCCACCGACAGGAGTGAAAACATTTTGGGAAACAAAGTACTTTGCAAATATAATTCTTATCAACAGTTACTTTTTTATACAGTGAGGTAAATGGTAAATGTGCATGTATGTCGTTCAGTATGCGTTTACAGGTGAATACGTCTGCATTTCCTGCATGCAAAGTCATCGACAAGGTCATCGTATGGCAGCTGCTGTGCCAACTGTGCGTTGATGCTTATGATAGCCAGGCCACTTAAGCGTTCTTGTGCCATTGACGACCGGAGGTACGTCTTCATAAGCTTCAGTTTGGAAAAGCTTCTCTCAGCAGACGCAACTGTAACAGGAAGAGTTACTGCAATGCCGAGGGCAATCCAGAGATTTGGGTACAGTTCCTGTAACTCACTTTTGTGGAGAAATTACAACATCTCCAGAGCAGGTTTTTGTAGTGGCATCTTTGGGAGGTTGATGATCTCCTGGACCAATGCAGACAAGAAATCCATCATTCAAGCAGACTTAAGATATGTTCTGATCTTAATAGTGCACTACAGAATGAATATAGTGAAAATAGCCTCAAAAAGATTAAAATATAATTAATGCAAATAAACTACTTCTACTAATAATAATCAATTCAATAATATAAATACTATATTTTATTATAATATAGTTGTAATATAGTCAAAACAAAACATGCTTATTACATGCTCAAAGACTGATATTTCTTAAATCTGTATTCAAATGTAGTTCCCTCTGTCAGCAATGTATCAACAACTACACACACATTTATATCAGTATTTCTCTGTGTTGTGGTACAACACAGAGAAATACTGAAATGTATACGCTACCAGGACACAACAGTTTTGGATGATGGAAAGATCAAACACCTCACACAACACGAAAGGCATGCCTTCCTCACAGCATTGATAGAACCACCGATTACAATTCTTCTTCACAACAGAATGACACACAAGGGTTTGGTCTACACAAGTAAAAACTATACCCGCGCCAAAAGACGCAATGATTATTGTGTAAGTCTGACAGATGGACGCTCTGGGGAGATGGAGCAGATAATATCATTGAGCTCAGAAGCAGGAGCAGAAATGGCCATGTTCTTCAAACCTTTGGACACACAGACTAGGTCCTTCCCCCTTCCACAGGGTTATGGTTTTGTGCCTCATATCTTTAGGGGAAATGAAGGTACCTTGATCCACTTGGTTCCAGTTGATGATCTTGAACAAAAATGTCTCCTTGTGAAGTCCGCTGATGGAATGTATCCATGCAACTTCCCAAACCTGTCTGAGAGGGATTACAATGCTAAATGAGTAATGAGCCGTCATCATGGTAAAACTGTCCGGTGTCTCTCTTTCCCCTGGACTCATTTTCTCCTTTTTCATGTTTAATTGTTCCTCTTTAAGGGGCCCTAATGTGCTAATTTCTTGTTAAATATTGTTTACACAAGAACCTATATAACACACTACAGGAAAGAAAAACCCCAAAACGAACCACCCTCAATGAGACACTAAATACAAATGATCCTGAAAGTTTGCAAATGGTGTCCTTTTTAAGTAATTGTTGTATCATTCATAACACTCTGAGATTAATCACAATGTGGCCACCTGTCATCTCCACTAGTGACATTTAAATTAAAACAGTCTTATTTATAGAGCTTTGTATACTACTGAGTTTGTATGTTATGTCTCTTAAATAAATGGAATGGAAACATGCAAACAGGGTTTTGCATTGAAGCAATTGGATGGAAAATATAATACGTTTTTTGTTAACAACAGAGCTGGAAATGGAAGCAATACAAATATTACTTTAATGTTACTATGTGTTGCTTGTGTTCTGATGCACTTCACAATGCATGACATGTTTTTTTACTAGCATCATCAACACTGAACTGAAAATATATGTATTTATTTTTGGTTTTGTACATTTAGGGTTAGGGTAGGTAAGTTTGAGAAACTGGCTCGAGATCGCTAGAATTTGAAAATACACAACCGGAGAAAATCTGCCACTTCCTCACAGAGCCCCTCCTCCAACACACACGAACGTGCACATGACCAATGAGGGCACGAGATAAGTTTGTGCACAGATGGAAGGCTGACAGGCAGGTAGGCCATCCAGTTACTTTAGCCGGGCCGGCTCAGATGATTGGTCGTGCTTTTTACAGTACTACAGCTTCCACTGATGATATTTATTTATGGATTTGTTGTCAAAGCACTTCAGATATTCATTGCTATCAGGATGTTAAGAGCATTCCATGGAATATAACAACAAGTGTATCTAGAGCCGGTTTCTCAAACTTACCTACCCCACCTTTAAGTCTAAATAACTCAAAATTAAGTATTTCTATCGAAGAACATGTTCCCTATTTTAAAGGTAAGTCTTGTTCATAACCAATAAGCTAGTAGTTTGACTCTAATTGACCTGAACAGGTTCCCTATTCTAAAGTTGCCTCCTCTTCACACTTTGTAAATACATTATAGCACGCGACTACTGAAATTAACCTCAACAGCACATGAACAAAGTAGGCACACGTTCAAATATCTGTTTTATGAACCACTAAAGAGAGGTTCAGACACATACCAAAACATGTCAAGTTTCTCCAAGGCTGAGAACACATGATATGCAGCCTGTATACTTCTTAATAAAAACTTTTATTAACAGATTTTATGTATTTGTAATTGTTAATTACATTTTTCTTGGGGCCTAAGGTGAGAGTTGGCCTGCCTCGGTGGTGAACAAGGATGGCTCGAGCACTCGATCTTACAGCCGGTCCCAAAGAGCACCAACACTGAGCTTTATTGACACATGTATGGAAAAATCAGTGTTAAAATCAGATGCATGGTCCATTTCATGTTTTATATCGGTTTATGTGATCATAAGTCTGGCAGAACGATGTTAGCACTGAAAACAAGTGTTTTATATGTTGTGAAAAACTGCTTTTTTGTTGTGTTTTACAGATATTTGGGACATCGAATCAAGACTGTCTCCATGAAGAGCAGGTTTCACAGCTCTCTCAGTAAATATGGTATGCACTTATTGTTGTTATTGACTTTAATTACATAAACACTGATTGGACGTCCTCATAAAAGGTGGTGAATTCCTGGCGTTGGTGAGAGCCTGAACTCATCACGGCACTTCCAGTCACACACACACACACACACACACACACACACACACACACACACACACACACACACACACACACACACACACATACACCTCTGTCATTGCTGCGTTTTCCCGTATGTTACATGTACAGTAGGACACATACAGGAAGAGGTGTGTGTGTGTGTGTGTGTGTGTGTGTGTGTGTGTGTGTGTTGTGGGTGTGTGTGTGTGTGTGTGTGTGTGTGTGTTTGTGTGTGTGTGGTGTGTGTGTGTGTGTGTGTGTGGTGTGTGTGTGTGTGTGTGTGTGTGTGTGTGTGTGTGTGTGTGTGTGTGTGTGTGTGTGTGTGTGGCAGTTTAGATGTGTTCTGTGTGATTCCCTTTAATAGCCGCACAGACAGAGAATCAGACGGTGTTTCATTAGTGATTCCTGTAATGTCAATAAAGTTGCGATGGTTAACAGGAAGAGTGTGGGAGCAAGGGGGGGGGGGGCAAGGCTATGGGGGGGGAGGGAGAGGAGGAGGAGGAGGAAGAGGAGGTATCATTATTCATGCACGGACAGGAGGAAAGATGTCTTTGTTACAGACAGTGAAAAGGAAGAGAAATGAAATGCGAAAATGAAAGGAATATACCATTACATGTTTTTTATTCCATATTTTATTCACTCAAGATATAATAACTAAAAGGTGCATTGCACAGCGCTATAACAACAACACATATGTAAATAACAATATGCTTTAAATAAGTTTACCTCATGATGCAATTTAAATAAAGATGATTGATGTTTAGAGTTAAATTCATCAATCTAATGATCCCTGATGACCATCAAACTAATATTATAACGTCAAAATCAATAACTAGAATAAGAAAATTAACCTTCATTCAAAAAGAAATATCTATACTTGTAATTAATCAATGTAAAGCCTATTGTGCTATATTATTGTGAACAATGTGTTCTCCATTAACCATCAAACCTGTGCATATCAGTGTCTGTTTGTGGGGACTCAGCGCCACCTGCTGGACCCACACACACCCACACACACACACACACACACACACACACACACCACACACACACACACACAGCTTCTACACCAGAGGGAGCCGCTGCATCACTCTTTCAAAGCTCAGTTTTTAAAATCAGTTGCAAGTTGAATTTAACGGTGTTTTGATACTTTCTTGATATGTTTCTTAAATTCAAGTTCGAGTCCAATATACTTGAAAGTTAGTGTGTTTAGTGTGTGTGAGAGAGGAGAGAGGAGGAGGAGCAGAGGAGGAAGGAACAGAGTGACTTCATAGACGCTGCTTGTTCTAAATCTTTATTGAACGTATCGATCACTACAGTCTTCAGATCAGCTTAATTACGTTGCGTCAAGAAAACTTATTACAGACACAATCAGTGAGACACACGGTAAACCAATGAGAAGCCTCCATTTAAAACACCATGTGACCCAGGACAGGAAGGTGGTCTCCTCCTACAGAGGACACAGAGGACACAGAGACAATGAGGAGTCAGACCGCAAACCCAAACCCAGCTAGTAGAGAGAGTTCAGTGAATGTGGCTCTGAAGGTGTGGAGGAGGATCAGTGAGGAGGAGGAAGACGCTGTAGAAGGAGAGAGAGCAGCAGCATGATCCAGATACATCTGCTACTCTACGAGAGGAGGAGTGAGGAGGAGGAGGAGGAGGAGGAGGGGAGGAGGGGGGAGGAGGAGGAGATGTTTGTTCCTCTCTTATTGTGCCAGACAGCGTAACCTCTATCAGAGCAGTCCAGACCTCCAGGACTGATCATTCCCTCCAAACCTACATTCACTCCTTGTCCTTTCCTCCTGATTCCTCTGTAAGTCAATGCTATAGCATACCTCTCCTCTCCTCTCGACCTCCCAGTAACAGCGACCAGTCAGAGCTTCTCTGCACATCAGCTGAGCCTTGCCATAGAACCTCTTGGATGATCTAGGATATGGCTGATCCTCCTCCACACGTGTCACCTTCCTGTTTGTCCTCAGACAGTTTGAGTCTCCAGCCCACTGTGTTTGAGTCCAGGGTGAGTCCACAGGAATCTGAGGAGAGAGACACAGACAGCAGTTTATCACCAGACTCACCTGAAGGCTTTCCTCTCTGTCAGTGATCTTTCTATAAAGCTTCAAGAGGTCATGTTCTAATGAATAAATAGCACCTCCATCATCTGTGTCTCTAGAGCAGGGGTCTCCAACCTTTTTTAGGGTGAGGGCTACTTTCAAAAAATAAAACAAGTCGTGAGCTACTTTTACTCCTCTTTTTGTTGTTTTTTGCAGTGTATATATTTAGCACATTTAACATGATGACATGCTGACCTTTAACCTTGTGTCTGTTTGGGTCTGTGGGACCCCTTCAGTGTTTACTCAAAGAACATGGATGCTATCTCATTATCTTAACCTGCTTTATTTGGGGGTGGTCCTCACCTCCTCTAGGGGGGACCTCACCTCCTCTAGGGGGGTCCTCACCTCCTCTAGGGGGGACCTCACCTCCTCTAGGGGGGACCTCACCTCCTCTAGGGGGGACCTCACCTCCTCTAGGGGGACCTCACCTCCTCTAGGGGGGACCTCACCTCCTCTAGGGGGGTCCTCACCTCCTCTAGGGGGGACCTCACCTCCTCTAGGGGGGTCCGGGGGCATGCATCAATCTCTCTCTCTCTCTCTCTCTCTCTCTCTCTCTCTCTCTCTCTCTCTCTCTCTCTCTCTCTCTCTCTCTCTCTCTCTCTCTCTGCCTGGTTTAGCTCTGGTTCTTCCTGTTTCAGCCGCAGCAGAGCCGGCTCTAAACACCGAACACCGGTTCTTAGCTGACCCCACTTGGCTGCCCGGCAAGAACCAAGAACCACGCTCACGTCGGAAGGGGGCGAGATGAACCTGAGCCATAATAACAGTTTATGGCGAGTACGGAAAATGAAAGTTGTAACAAGCAGTAGCGCTGAGCAAAGTGACTAGAAGGCAACCACACACTTATAAACAAACACACTTTATAAAGTCAGGCAACACTAACCAGGCTTCGTGTGATTCTGTTTATTTGTACCTTACTTTGACCATCCGTTCGCTGTTATTGATCATTGTGGAGAGCAGGCAGACGTTTTGTTTTGTATTATCGCAGCTATCAGATGGAATCAATACATGGGCTGCACAGGTTGTCATGTCCGACTATCACAAGTAGAATCATAATGAAAAGGTAAAATGTGCCTGTAGGAAACGGCTTATGCCACAATAGGATAGCAACAAGTAGTCAAGATAGTCAGTTCAGCTTCGGTTGCTGTTGCATAACTGCGGTCAACTCAGCCGTCTCTCGCCTTCGCTTGGTCAAATCAGCAGCTATTCATTTTTGAGTGCGCAATTAATAGCGCCTTTACGGTAAACTGACACTGTTTGACTCAGTCCTAGTTTGACTGCTACAATCAAATGAAGTAGGCTACTTTTACTGTGTACTTTTACTGTGTAATACTTTCTCAAAGTCCCTGAGAACAAACTCATGCCACTTCTACTATATTTGATGAGATAAAATTATTTGTATCCATAACTTCTTAGTTAAATTGATACTGTTGGACTCAGTACTTGTTAGACTACTACCACAAATACAATGAAGTAGGCCTACTTTTATTGTGTACTTGTTGAGTAATCCTTTGTCAAACTCCCCTCCTGAGTAGAATAATGCATGTTTTCTGCTATATTTAATAAGCGTTAAAAGCGTTCACAATACTGGGAGGCTGTGGCTCAGTGGATAGTGTGCTGGACTTCGAATCAGGGGAGGACACTTCACCCCAAATTGCTCTCTGTGGGGATTGTCCACAGTACTGAATGTATGTAAGTCGCTTTGGATAAAAGCGACATGTAATGTAATGTAATGTACAGATAATGTTAGACAGAGTATTTTAAGAGGATAAGGTAGACCGATGACATCAACACTAGATCCACTACATCAGTACTCCAGCAGCAGCATTGTTACCCCTTGGAAAGTCTTTAGAGACTATCCTGGATAGCTGTTCACAACCTTCCTCCAGCACAGTGACACACCCTGTCACGCTTGTTGGCCTCTCATGATGTGCTGCTAAAGTCCTTCTACTGCACCTTTTTGACTCCAATACAGGCCTTTGTATATGTTTATGGGAAGATTACACAATAAATGGCCCAGATGTGTACACATCGAAATCTTGTAGTGCAGGAAGAAATACACACTGGCTAAGCCTGCAGGTGATATAGGCTTTGTTTTGCAATATTTATTCAAAGGTCACTTCTTATTTAAATAAATACCTGAAATATAGATATTATCTCTTATCAAAGATAGCAGAATACATGAAAGAATGTACTCAGGACAGGAGTTTGACCTAGTATTACTCAAAAAGTACACAGTAAAAGTACTTTATTGTACTTGTGGTAGTAGTCCAAGTAGCTGAGTCCAACAGTAGGCTATCAATTTAACTAAGAACTTTTGGCAAAATACCATTTATCTCTCATCAAAGATAGCTAAAAACATGCATTATTGTACTCTGGAAGGGAGTTTGACAGAGTATTACTCAAAAAGTACACAATAAAAGTAGGCCTACTTCATTGTATTTGTGGTAGTAGTCTAACAAGTACTGAGTCCAACAGTACCAATTTTATAAGAACTTATGGCTAAAAATTATTTTATCTCTCATCAAATATAGCAGAAGTGGCATGAGTTTGTTCTCAGGGACTTTGAGAGTATTACCCAAAAAGTACACAGTAAAAGTAGCCTACTTCATTTGATTGTAGCAGTCAAACTAGGACTGAGTCAAACAGTGTCAGTTTACCGTAAAGGCGCTATTAATTGCGCACTCAAAAATGAATAGCTGCTGATTTGACCAAGCGAAGGCGAGAGACGGCTGAGTTGACCGCAGTTATGCAACAGCAACCGAAGCTGAACTGACTATCTTGACTACTTGTTGCTATCCTATTGTGGCATAAGCCGTTTTCTACAGGCACATTTTACCTTTTCATTATGATTCTACTTGTGATAGTCGGACATGACAACCTGGGCAGCCCATGTATTGATTCCATCTGATAGCTGCTATAATACAAAACAAAACGTCTGCCTGCTCTCCACAATGATCAATGACAGTGAACGGATGGTCAAAGTAAGGTACAAATAAACAGAATCACACGAAGCCTGGTTAGTGTTGCCTGACTTTATAAAGTGTGTTTGTTTATAAGTGTGTGGTTGCCTTCTAGTCACTTTGCTCAGCGCTACTGCTTGTTACAACTTTCATTTTCCGTACTCGCCATAAACTGTTATTATGGCTCAGGTTAATCTCGCCCCCTTCCGACGTGAGCGTGGTTCTTGGTTCTTGCCGGGCAGCCAAGTGGGGTCAGCTAAGAACCGGTGTTCGGTGTTTAGAGCCGGCTCCGCTGCGGCTGAAACAGGAAGAACCAGAGCTAAACCAGGCTGAGTGTGAAACAAGAGCTATTGAGTCAGTGTTGCGGTGCTGTTGCTTTGGTCTGGATCTGTGAGCTAACCACGCCCCGTTCATTTGCATATAAGAAATGGAAATGTCTCATTATGAAATACAAGTCCCCTGAAATAAATAAATGTGTCATTATGAAATACAAGTCCCTGAAATAAATAAATGTGTCATTATGAAATACAAGTCCCCTGAAATAAATAAATGTGTCATTATGAAATACAAGTCCTTGAAATAAATAAATGTGTATTTAAATGTACATGTATACATATTTATTGCTTCTTCATTTATTTATTTCAGAATGTATTTCATAGGCATATTTATATATATATGTATTTATTTAATTATTTATGTATTTATTTATGTATTTATTTTTTATTTAATTTTGGCTTAAATGGCATTCCATAAGAGTAAAGCTCTGCCCCTCATGTGCTGTATAGGCTGCATGATAGGCTGCTCAATGGGGCTGATGTGTTGTGTAGATTCTGCCAGAAGGGACATCAGCGGGGAGGTGCCTTTTCTTCCAGACTGCAATGCTGGTCCCGCAAATCAAGCAAGAACGTGATTGGTCGATATTCATTGTGGGGGTGGGGGGAGGAGGGGTGTCAGATAGATATAGAGTTGTAGTAAGTAGATAGAGTTCACTATGATTGAGGTTTCCTTTATGCATAGGGTAGATTCTTTTAATTACATTTCCTTTTTTGTTTTGTGTATTTTATACATTTTGGATTTGCTTGGCGAGCTATTTTTAGAACATGCCCCGCGGGCGACTCACGTTGCCCCTGCGGGCGACTAAGTGCCCGCGGGCACCGTGTTGGCTACCCCTGCTCTAGAGAGAAGCTGACTGATCCACACTTACACTTCCTCACACCTGCTCTGAACCTCTGCTCTCCACCATGGTCCAGCCTGGAGGAAGAAACACATGTGAGAAACAGAACAGCGTATTGTTAGAATAAAGTATTTATCAATGTTCATCATAATAAATCCTATGTGTCCGAAGGGAGCAGGAGGGAGCAGATGCTTATTGATCCCCCTCACTTACTGCTGATCAATGATTATCCTTTCAATCATCTCTGAAAGTTATTCCTACTTACATATTTACATTTATACATTTACAATCATTTCTCCTCTTCAATCTCCTTTCTTCATTCTCATACTTTCCCAAAGAAGTGTTTCTGTGCATCCTTCAAAGTGAATGCTATGTGTGCTTTGTTTGAACTCCTGCTCCAAGCCGCTCCATGAAACCCCCCCCCACAGATTGTTCTGCTCTTCTCAGAGTTCTTCTGACCTTGAGTTGTTTCAGATGTAGATCTCCTCTCAGATGATACCCCCCTCTCTGTCTATGAACAACGTCTGTAGTGTCCTAGGAAGTAGATGATCTCTTGCTCTGTACATGATGCAGTTTGAAATGTAACCAGATCAGTAAACTTCAGTGTGTGTGACTTCAAGAATAATGAATGAGTGTGTTCAAGATATCCAACATTATTGATTACTCTTAGAGCCCTTTTTTGTAATGTGCATATATCATATCACTTTTCACGAGTGTTTTCGTTGAGCTCTTCAACACCCCCCCCCGTTGATAATTCACGATCGTCGGCACGCTGATACATTTTTTTTTTAGAATGGCACTTCATATCAAAAAGGTTGCCGACCCCTGGTTTAGGCCATCAGTGATCCATGCACGGTGACTTTGTTTGTGTCTCTCTGCATTGTTTAGGCCATCAGTGATCCATGCACGGTGACTTTGTTTGTGTCTCTCTGCATTGTTTAGGCCATCAGTGATCCATGCACGGTGACTTTGTTTGTGTCTCTCTGCATTGTTTCACAGGACACTTTTTGTCACAAAGTGATTTCAAAATGTTTAGAAATTCCTCATAGGCCTTGTCCATATCGTCTCTCTCATATACTACCCTCCAATTGTGATTAAAGTATTCTTTAATGCATTTATGTTTTCTTCAGTTCTCAATCTTTTTGTATTTTAAATGGCTGGAGACTTTAGGTTTCTTATAACTGCAGTGATAGACAATAAGAACAGGTGAATGATCACTGATGTCACTATATAGTAGTCCCTGCTGTATTGTTCTCCATAATGTTTGTGAATATGTTGTCTATTCATGTAGCAGAGAAGTGATTCTACTAGGTCTGGTGATTTTAGGATACTAACCCATACTGTACAATGCATTGATGAAGTCTTCTTAAGTCTTTAACCCTAACCCCTAAGATAAACATCATGTTTTGTAATGATTTAGTAAACATGTTTCTATCCTATCTGTAAATGTGTCAATACAGGTTCCAGGAGCTCTGTATATACAGCTCACAATAACATGTTTAGACCTTTCCATACACATGTCTACTGTAACACATTCAAACAAATCATCAACAGCTGTTGTTATGCTCTCCACCACCTTCTAGTTCATTCCTTTATCCACATAGATTGCCACACCCCCTCCACTCTTATTCCTTCTGTTTGTATAATTCAGTTCATAGCCATCCATCTCAAAGTCCACACCTCTCTCAGCACTGATCCAGGTCTCTGATATTGCTGTGATGTTGAATGGGTTCTTAAACTGACTTAGATATTCTTTAATGTTGAGGAAGTTGGCATCTAGGCTTCTGCTATTGAAGTGGATCATTGATATGTTCTCTTCTGATTGACACGTTACATTGAATTGCTCTTCTGTGAAATAGTTGCAGCTGTTGTTATATTGTTCAGTAAGTTGTTTTCCGGATCAATGTCATTTTCCATGTCCTGTGTGTTATGCTCTGTATATGCAAACGTTTATAGTCTTGATAGAGAGATGTGTTTATTATCTGGAATGGTCATGGTAGTGTTTTATTTCTGACCTGGTCTGATTTGTTTCATTGATATGTTTCCAGTTCCTCCAGGTCCCTGATGATGAACACTTTGTTCTGGGGATCCGTGAAGCTTGATGGAGATGTTGCACTTTGCAGTCCATGTTGATGTATTTTTCGCTGTTTTCTCAGGAATCGGGCCTTTCTGGCGATCTCAGCATTTCTTTTAGTGAGGTGTTCATTCATATATACATCCGAGCCCTTAAGCCGTCTTCCCTGTTTCAGAAGTTCAGTTTTATGTTTTCTGTTGGCAAACCTTATTATTATTGCCGGTTTATCTGTTTTATTTCTGTGTGGTAGCGGGTGACAGGCCTCGATGTTGTCGCTGTCAATCTCTATTCCCTTGGAGTTGAGGAAGGCCGTCACCTGTAGCTCCACAGATGTAGCATCCTCCTCACTTGTGTCCCCTCCGGTCATCCTCATCGCCGCCTGGGCGTATGAGCAGGGTTTCGTCTCCAGTCCAGTGATTATGATGTTGTGAATTCGGGTGTATTGCTCCAGCTCATCCACCCGATTTTCCAGCAAGAATATCCTTTTTTCCTTTTCGGAATTTTGTAGCCTCAGGGCTTTAACTTCCTCCACCAGGCTCATAATGTTATCTGTTGCTGTCTTATAACAGATACCTCCTCCGTCAACATGTCTAACGATCGTTTAATGTCGTCAACTTCCTCAGCACGCGGAGGAATCTTTTTTGGTGGCATTGCGTTTTGTTTAGGATTATTATATAACGGAGAGAAAGAGGAAATGAGTGTTTCCGTCTCTCTGCGGATCCTTCTGCTTGTTGTGACACAGACTACTTTCACTTCCAGGTCTGTGTTAAGAACAAAGCTCAAAGCTCATAATGTGCAGAAAACCAAAACTGTGGTCCAAACAGTAGCAATCCTTGTTGTATGTGCTTTCCTGCTAAACACCAAAGAAGCACATGCATTCCTCCTGACCAAGACAACGTGCACATATGAAGCTGATTCAACAAAACTAAAGGACATCCCTTCTTTGCCACTTCCTCGGCTAGCTTGAGCCCTCAGTTTACCGGGTCGCTCATTAAAGCACTTCATGACTGACAACGTGGCGAATATAATGTAGTCAAACTCATCCATTTTTACAGATTCGTAGATTTTTATGCTTTGCGTCCGAGTCAGCTGGGATAGATCGCCGAGATGCCGACTGGCAGAGACACTGGCTGCCGAAATCAAACAAAACCGAACCAACCTCCCCAAGTTTAACGAAACAAAAAACAGACAAACAAACAACTAAGTGAAACAATTAATAAGCACAAAAATAACCTACGTCAAATGAACGCATATTAAAGAGTCCGCATCGTCCCTCTGGGAATCTAAAATGTCAAACAGAATCTCATCTCAACACATTTAGCAGTTGGTGAGATATCTCAGTCAGAACCAAACCATAAACTGACCATCATTATCCTCCCTAGAGCCAGGAAACCAGTGGTTCTGATGTTTGGACTGAATGGCTGTTTCCATGTAATAAGACTTGAAGGTTAACTCACTGCAGTGAACATAATCAAGGGAAATGAGACGTCCTTCATGATGGAAGACCAGAGATGAAGGAGATGAAATTAGAAAAATAGGAGGAAGTCAGTCTGTCCATACCTGAGTGTCTCCAGTCTCCAGAGTGGATCCTCCCGTCCAGCAGACAGCAGCTTCTCTCCTGAGTCTCCTGGATGATTGTAGCTCAGGTCCAGCTCTCTCAGATGGGAGGGGTTGGATCTCAGAGCTGAAGCCAGAGAAACACAGCCTTCCTCTGTGACCAGACAGCCGGACAGACTGGAATCAGGGAATACAGTAAACTCAGTGTTCTTAAAAGTCACCTCAGCAGGAAAACCATACAGAGGTGGACCATCTTCATCAACATGAACAAAAAGCTGGATGAAAATAATTGAATTGCTTGAAAATAAAAAGCTGAACTCTGACCTGAGAGTCTTCAGTTCACAGTGTGGACTCTTCAGTCCAGCAGACAGCAGCTTCACTCCTGAATCCTTCAGGTCGTTGTTACTCAGGTCCAGATCTCTCAGACTAGAGGACTGGGAGCTGAGGACTGAGGACAGAGCTTCACAGCTTCTCTCTGACAGGTTACAGCCAGTTAACCTTGAAAGAAATGAATAAATATGACAACATTCCTTTAATATTAAATGTGATTGTGCGCAAAGTTTCAAACATACAATCTTTTCTAGTTCCTTTGTCAAATGATACCATCTGTTTGTCTGTGCATGTTTGTGTTTGTCAATCAGTCAGATACATTGAGATGTAGATAAGTGACGCCATCTGTCTTCAAATATAATCAGATTGTTATAATGGTTTTGTGGTTTATTGTTTTGAAGAAGAAAAATAAACAAAAAACCGAAGGAGAATCGAAATGTATTATTATTCTAATTTGATAAAACTGGAAATTAGTCGATAGAAATGGCTAAACAAAACCACTGACTGTTAACATATCAGCTGAACTCTGACCTGAGAGTCTTCAGTTCACAGTGTGGGCTCTCCAGTCCAGCAGATACCAGCATCACTCCTGAATCCTTCAGGTCGTTGTTACTCAGGTCCAGCTCTCTCAGACTAGAGGACTGGGAGCTGAGGACTGAGGACAGAGCTTCACAGCTTCTCTCTGACAGGTTGCAGCCACTCAGCCTGGGGAAAGATCAGCAGTGTACACAAAGAGTTTTATTCTCATGTCTCAACCTGTTCCTAGTTAATGTAGTTTGATCTCCACTTACAGAGCTTTCCTGGAGGCTTTGACCACTGGCAGCAGCTTCAGAAGAGCCTCCTCTGAAGCTGAGTATTTCTGCAGGTCAAACTCTTCCAGATCTTCTTCTGATGACAGTAAGATGAAGACCAGAGCTGACCACTGAGCAGGAGACAGATTATCTGTGGAGAGACTTCCTGATCTCAGGGACTGTTGGATCTCCTCCACTAGAGAACGATCATTCAGTTCATTCAGACAGTGGAACAGGTTGATGCTTTTCTCCGGAGACGGGTTCTTTCTTATCTTTTTCTTGATGTATTTCACTGTTTTCTGGTTGATCTCTGAGCTACTTCCTGTCTGCGTCACCAGGCCTCGTAGGAGTTTCTGATTGGTCTGCAGTGAAAGACCCAGGAGGAAGCGGAGGAACAAGTCCAGGTGTCCGTTTGGACTCTGTAAGGCCTGGTCCACAGCACTCTGGTAGAGATCTGTTAGTTTAGGTTTGGGTCTGAAGACTTTAGGCAGCCAGGAGTTTGTTGGTTCTTCTGCCAGCAGGTTGACTCCAGAGTTGATGAAGGTCAGATGGACATGAAGAGCAGCCAGAAACTCCTGAACGCTCAGATGGACGAAGCAGAACACTGTGTTCTTGTACGTTCCTCTCCCTTCTAAAGACATGTGTGAACACTCCTGAGTACACTGAGGCTGCTCTGATATCGATGCCACACTCTGTCAGGTCGGACTCATAGAAGATCAGGTTGCCTTTCTGCAGCTGCTCAAAAGCCAGTTTTCCCAGAGCCTCCATCATCTTCATCCTGCTCTCTGGACTCCTGTGTGGATCTGTCTCAGCTCCTCCATCATACTTGACGTTCACTTTGGACTGAATCACCAGGAAGTGGATGTACATCTCAGTCAGGGTCTTGGGCAGCTCTCCTCTCTCAGTTTTCAACATGTCCTCCAGAATGAAGCAGAGATCCAGCAGAAGACTGGGATGTGGCACATGATGTGGAGGCTTCGTGAGGTCTTGATGTGGGAGATGATGGTGCCGGCCTGCTCCTGATCTGTGAATCTCTTCCTGAAGTACTCCTCCTTCTGTGGGTCAGTGAACCCTCGGACCTCTGTCATCATGTCCCACAAACTCAGTGATCTGATTGGCTGCTGCAGGTCGTGTGGTTATCCAGAGGCAAGCAGAGGGAAGCAGTTCCCCTGATGAGGTTTGTCAGCAGCCGATCCACTGAGGTGGACTCTGAGACATCAGTCAGGATGTCAGTGTTGAGAAGTCCAGAGGAAGTCGACACTCATCCAGACCGTCAAAGATGAACACAACCGGGAACTGATCAAACATGCAGATTCCTGCGTCTCTGGTTTCAGTGAAGAAGTGATGAACAAGTTCCACCAAGCTGTACTTGTTCTCTCTCACCACATTCAGCTCTCTGAAGGTGAATGGAAATATGAACTGGATGTCCTGGTTGGCTTTGCCTTCAGCCCAGTCCAGAGTGAACTTCTGTGTTAAGACTGTTTTCCCAATGCCAGCCACTCCCTTTGTCATCACTGCTCTGATTGGTTTACCTCTTTCAGTTGAGCCTTTAAAGAGGTCTTCTTGTCTGATGGGTGTTTCTGGTCTGTCTGGTTTCCTGGATGCTTGTTCGATCTGTCTGATCTCGTGTTCCTTGTTGACCTCTGTGGTGTCTCCCCTGGTGATGTAGATCTCCGTGTAGATTTTATGTAGGGATTCTGATTTTTCCATAAATTTGATATTTTCATATGTTTCTTCAGGTTTGATTTGAGTTCACCTTGGCACTTAGTGAGAATATCTGAATGAATAAGAAAGACATTTACACGAAAGACACATCAAAATATTTCCTTCTAATTGGACCCATTTCTGACAAAATAGCAGGTTATTTTCCTTATATCAAGTCACTGGATCGTGTTGCATAATTATCTGTACATTGTCCAGTATAAGTTCCACCCCACAGAGAACCATCAGTTTTCCCACAGAGAACCATGGCCCTAAACCTGACTGACTCTTATTCCTGCTGCTGGGAGATGAGGCACGATACCAGCAGATCCCAACACCCACTGAGGGTTGGACACAGCTCTCTCTCCAGTTATACAGGAAGTGGATGGCTCTTACTGTGTCGCAGTATACTCCTGCAGTAGCCTACCATCTACAAGACACCCTGGGGGGTCACAGTAATAACCCGTCCCTTCCTCCCCAAGTCATGTTGGACGGCAAATGATACCTCCTTCCACCTGTAGGGGGCTGGGCCGTTAGTAATGACTAGGACAGAATCTGCAGTGAGCAATCCCAGTGAGGCTGAGCAATGTGCTCCTCTGATGTTTAGAGCTTACCCTACAGTCCCCTTTAAAGCATGGAAAATGACACTGTCTGCCTCCATGCAACATTGAACAGGAATTTAAATCACAACTGTCCAATCCTATGTCAGGACAAACCTCCACAGTGTGTCCCTGTGGCCCCTTCTGAACCACCTGAGCACAGCTTCTCCAAGCCCTCAGCTCTGCCTCCTGAACTCAGTGTGCATCAGTCCCATTCAACATCCTGAGACTGAGTCAGCAGCTAACCTACACTGTGGAAAACAGCCGGGGTTTATCCATGACTCCCCCTCCTGAGATATCTGACAGTTCGGCAGGACAAACCTCATTCCTAACAGAATTGGCCGTTTCCTGGGAAAACGTAGCACTCAAGGACTCACTGCCATTTCAGAGCCCACTGATGACTTTCTGGTCATTCCTCTGATCCATCCCCTCCCCAACACTGGCTTTTAGCATCACCCACTTGTATTACATATCTCCAATGTCCCACCAGGAGTAACTCGTTGATATAGCATTGGTGGTTCAGTGGTAGAATTCTCCTTCTTAATAAGATCGGCTGGCGCATCATAATGACGTTGGATAGTGTCAGTGCGGTCGGATTCTCAAAGCACAGCAGTCTCTTTCCCTAAGTCCTATCATTAACCCCAAGATGTTTCACAAAGGTTAAGGAATTGTGGTTAGGAAGAGACGAAAGGCGATATATTTTGGAAGGTAATTGGATTCCTAAAATGCTGATCTATAAAGGTTCTACTACCCCTCACCTGGAACCAACAGGGTGACCTTGCCAGAAACTAGTGACCCTGACCTCTCTGCTTTCAGGGGTACCTCAGCCCCAACACCATGTGGAGGTGATGGTTCTCTGAGGGGGATATCAGGAGTCTAAAAACATGATGCATGGCTGTGAAAAATAAAAAATATTATATTATATATATAGGTATATTTTGGTACACTCTTTTTTAAAGACCTACCTTTAGGGTCTGATGAGGATTCTGATGAGGATTCTGATGAGGATTCTGATAATGCCCCTAATAGATCATTCCTCGGGATCTCCTTCAAAACTTCTCTGGTCACTTTAATGACGTGTTTGCCGTAGTACGTACGCATCAGATCCACTGTTTCCATCCGGTTGCTTTCTCTAGTTCACTCTTGGGATTCCTGGGAGTTCTAGGACCTTCTTCTCCAGGTGCCACTTGAATTCTTTAAAATTCCTCTTCCTTCAAATCTTTTAAAGTTTTTAATAGGACTTTAGGTGTCTCCATCTTTTCTACCTGCAGAGCAAAGATACCAAGAAAGAAAATATTTATCTTATATCTTACGGGATCCAAAGAACAGCTGCCATGTGACTTTGAATGGTGTTACGACCCTGGGTCGTTATGTCATTTGTGTGCAGATATTTCTTCTTCCTCCTGTGTCTGTGTGGCTGCGTGTATGGCAAGCCATTTGAGTATTTATTCCAAATCCTTGATATCAGACGACAGCTGCCTGCACTAGTTGGCTCTTTGATTTCACTTGTTAGACATATGGTCAAACTAGTTTGGCACTCTGCTTTACTAGTCAATTAAAACATTACACTAGTCACTCTTTTTCAGCAACTAGTGGCACTTTTGTCCGACTAGTTAGCACATAAGCCTTACTAGTGACGCCAGGAGCAGCACTAGTAGAGCCAAAGTCCCAACTTGTAAGCTTTTTGATGAACTAGTGGCCCTCTGACCGTACTAGTGACGCTAAAAGTCTTACAAGTTAACTAGTGTGCTGCAAAAGCTCTGACATGTTAACTAGTTACACAAAAGAAGCACAACTAGTTAACTAGTGGCATACATTTTTTAAAAAAACGTTGCAGGAGAATGCCCCCTAAGGCTCTCCTTCACAGAGCTGAACTGACCAATCAGAATCTGGGTCCCGCCTGCTTCATTGCATATGGCTGACTAGTTAACGTGTTGGCCATATGAACGACAACTAGTTAACTAGTGGATACATATTGCAGCTTACACGTTAACTAGTGAAGGCAAAATGTTCACTAGTTAACTAGTTGAAGCCTGTTTTGGTTATGGCAAGCCATTTGAGTATTTATTCCATATCCTTGATATCAGACGGCAGCTGCCTGCACTAGTTGGCTCTTTGATTTCACTTGTTAGATATATGGTCAAACTTATGGCAAGCCATTTGAGTATTTATTCAATTTCCTGGATGTTAGACGGCAGCTGCCTGCACTAGTTGGCTCTTTGATTTCACTTGTTAGACATATGGTCAAACTAGTTTGGCACTCTGCTTTACTAGTTAAACAAAACATTACACTAGTCACTCTTTTTCAGCAACTAGTGGCACTTTTGTCCGACTAGTTAGCACATAAGCCTTACTAGTGACGCCAGGAGCAGCACTAGTAGCGCCAAAGTCCCAACGTGTAAGCTTTTTGATGAACTAGTGGCCCTCTGACCGTACTAGTGACGCTAAAAGTCTTACAAGTTAACTAGTGCGCTGCAAAAGCTCTGACATGTTAACTAGTTACACAAAAGAAAGCACAACTAGTTAACTAGTGGCATACCTTTTTCTGCACTAGTTAACTAGTAGCACCCAGAATCGCTCACTAGTTAACTAAAGGCAAAAGGTTCACTTGTTAACTAGTTGACGTCTCTTTTGACCTTACTAGTTAACTAGTGGGGCTCAAAATGTCTACACGTTAACTAGTGAACCCTTTGCCCTTTACTAGTTAACTAGTGAGATACATTTAAATTCCACTAGTGAACTAGTGAGGCTCAAAATGTTCACTAGTAGTACTAGTGGATCCCAAATGTGCACTAGTCACACAGAATGCTAATGAGGAGGAGGGGAAAGAAGGCATCGAGGTCTCCTATTGGCCCTAAGCTATAGAGCGCCACCCAGCCCAAATAGTTTCTTTAAGAGCTTAAATACACTGTGTTTTAAAATACAGTCACATGACCATATTTACAAAAATATAAAACAAAAGTATTGTTGTAATTATGATCATATGACTGTTTATCAAATTAGTTAAGAACATTGAAGACTTTGTTAAAATTAGAAAGTTGCCTTAGGACTGCAGACAGGAATATAGATCCTCTTTAAACATTTTATTAAGCTGCAATTTGAAATGTGCTTGGATTAGAATAGCATTGTGATAACAGAGTGACATTAGTGATGGATAGAAAGAAAGTAACCCTCTTCGGATCACAGCTTTGAGAGATCGCCGTGACTTCCGTAAATATTAGTCTAAGGCAAAATATGGAGAGGTTGTTTCATACAGATCTATGGTTATCCTGATTTTAAGATCTGTCCAGTGTTTCTGCTTTATTCATTTCATGAGCACCGCTGATAAAATGTCCCACAATCACTTCCTCTACCTTTGGTCTCGAGTGCCGGTGTTCTCACACACAAGCATACGCACATTCGCACCAACAAAAACACACACACAAAGCGGAACAAAGCAGAAACAGAAACATGTATTTTTCTAGGAAAAACAAACTGACTGACTTCCCACGGACAATATGTTAACAGGAGGCACTAAATACCCGACTGATACCTCACGTCTTCGAGACGTTGCTAAAAACATTGCAGGAGATGCTCTCCCTCACAGAGCTGAACTGACCAATCAGAATCTGGGTCCCGCCTGCTTCATTTGCATATGGCTGACTAGTTAACGTGTCGGCCATATGAACGGCAACTAGTTAACTAGTGGCATACATTTGTCTGCACTAGTTAACTAGTTGTGCTTTCTTTTGTGTAACTAGTTAACATGTCAGACTTTTGCAGCGCACTAGTTAACTTGTAAGACTTTTAGGGTCACTAGTACGGTCAGAGGGCCACTAGTCCATCAAAAAGCTTACACGTTGGGACATTGGCTCTACTAGTGCTGCTCCTGGCGTCACTAGTAAGGCTTATGTGCTAACTATAGTCGGACAAAAGTGCCACTAGTTGCTGAAAAAGAGTGACTAGTGTAATGTTTTATTTAACTAGTAAAGCAGAGTGCCACACTAGTTTGACCATATATCTAACAAGTGAAATCAAAGAGCCAACTAGTGTAGGCAGCTGCCGTCTGACATCAAGGATATGGAATAAATACTCAATGGCTTGCCATATGCGTGTGAGTAAGCAGGTGGTGCCCGGTAGCTGATTGGCTGCCCTCGACAGGCTGATTGGTCCACCTGAGGAGACGGGAGCATTTAAGCTGCAGCCGTGCAGTTCCTCATCAGACAGTTACAGAGGCTGTACATCAAGCTTTACATCACAGGTAGCCCCTCCTCTCAGATATTCAGGAACCTTGTTGGAGCTCAACAGGACCGGACCAGCCCAGAATGTTCCCCACAGCCCAGAACCACACAGAAACCCAGTGTGTTGACCCCTAAATATGTGTTAGTGTGTCACAGTGTATCACAGCACACACAAACAGTCACTTCAATGTACATCCACAGGTAATGTACAGCCCAGCCCCCCACAAGATATCCCACACAATATTTTCAAGACTCTTCAGTGAAACCAGGTCAGTGTTGGAACGGGCCCTACACACTCCTTCCCTTATTCAGACTATTAAAAGTTAGACATAAAAACAGTCACGACTTGTTAGACCGGTTCTGACTGACACGCCGTGCATTTTTCTCTGATGACGAGAACTCAGAGAACAATCAGACTGCAACTCATTCTGCCTGAAACACTGACAACAGTACATGGAGATCTTTCTAAACTCATTCTGCTTTCACTCAGAGAGAAACCCGACACAATATTTCAGACAGATGTTCAAAACAGACCCTGGATATGTTTGAGTTATCTTAACTAACCCTAACAAACGACATCTCGCTAAGTGGTCCTACCACGCTGGTTATCAACTCAGTAAATCAACCAGGGTTTCACAAACATGGACAAGCGTACTGACAGCGCAGCGTCATACTTCATGATTGAATAGTAAACTATCATGTTAGACAAATATGAAGACATTCAACTTTTAACCTCCATGACTTAAACACTTTCCAGGATAAAAGCCACACAGTTGCACCTGCAAGGTGAATACAGAACAGCTGGTAAAAAAAAACTACCAAGTGTTTGAATGCGTTCATTAACAGTTTATGATATCACTGCCTGTCTACTCACAGACTCTCTTCAGATATACTCACAGACTCTCTTCAGGTGAGAAGGAAACTCTGCTCATTTCTTCTCTTCTGTCCTGAGTCTGCCTGCATCTGATCTGAGGACGCCTTCACACCATAGACTGTATATATAAAGCTTCACACCCTCAGAAATCCAGAGAGTAAAAACACGTCAGAGTCACGTGGAAACCGGCCTTACAGGTTGTAGCTGTCAGCCTGCCAGACCTCACCTCCCTGATTCAGACTATTAAGCAGTGGCGGCCGGCCCATAGGGGCGCTAGGGGCCCGCCCCCCCCCCCCTCTTCCCACATTAAACATTTAAATTAAAAAAATATGTATTTAAAAATATATATTTATTTTTTATTTTTAATAAACAAGGTAAATATTATATAATTGGTATCAGTAAAATGTATAATCTACAATAAAATCTCGTTTAAAATTGTGTTACGATGTCTAAAGTTACTGATAAGTCGCATGTTTCCTGCCTGGCCTTGCCCGTGTATCATTACCCACTCTCGTCTGGGCGCTAGCACAGCGCCCAGAGAGAGTGCAGCAAGTGCAGCAGAAGCCAACTGTTGCTATCTTTAAACTATGCCGCCGAAACATAATTTCAGCCAATCAGCGTCGTCAAATCTGATGGTCACAGGGCACCTACGTCCGCCCGGTGCAGTCTGTGAGTTGTTTGGACTTGTATCCAAGGAGACAAAACATGAAGCTCTATACACTCTGGAAGCTATCATTAGCAGCTAATGAAAACTCAGTTTTTGACTGAAAAAATTATTGATGATCCATAATTCCATTTTTCAAAGTGACAGACACATTGGATTAACCTATGGTTAACCTTCAGCCGCGTTTTTCTCGTTTTTGATCAGAATAACAGCAAAAGGTGAGCATATCTCCGTGTTTTGCTACCTAAAGCTAACGTTGTGTGATGTCTGTATTTGCTTCCCCTGTCGCGAGTTCTGATCGCTCAGTGATGATACTTATATTTCTAGAATCTGTGGAATCTCAGTTTGTTAGCTAAGCTTGTGTGTGCATATCCGATAAGTATATCGATTGATTGATACCTAGAGTGCGTTAGCATTTTTTCGCTCAGGGCTCATTTAGACGCTTCTTGTGAGACTTGTGTTTTGTTTCGGTAAACATGGTTCATATCATCAGTTACAGTAGCTGCGTTTCTTCCCGTTAAATGAGTAGGACACATGAATAGTTTATTACATTTTAAGAAGCCCTGAGACACAGTTTCGTGAGAAAAAAAACAGGGGGAAAAAAGCCCCTTAAAAGGTTAAATGGGAATTAAATCATTTAAAGTAATTTTGAGTGTTCCCAAAGCCCTGGTGTTCTGCAGTTTGTGTGGGCCTACTGTACTGTTACACAGTTTATGCTGCAGAAACTATGTCCAGGACAAGGTGTTTGGAAGTTTTGGAAGATTCCTAGCTAACCACACTGAAGATTATGGAGGTATTGATCAGTCTTCTCATATTTTTAAGACCCCCCCCTCTAACATCACCAGAAGTCATAATTTAAGGGGTCTTTTCTCAAAAAATGTTTACCGCCCTAGTATTGTTTGGTCACCATTTCCACAGCCCAACCTAAAATATTTTCCACCAGCCGCCACTGGTGAGTACCATGAATTGATGCCTCGGATATGAGTCTGTCGGCCTGGTTCTTCGGAGCACTCTACAGCTCAGTGCTGATATGGATCAGAGTCGGAGCCCCCCTTCTCCCGGTAAATTGAATTTACCCAGTGGTGTTGAACGATGATGGAGCCTCCCATCCCAAAAAAAAGCGTACCTTTCAATCGATTTGAATCGATTTCAATCTGCTTGTGTCTCCACAGGCTTGACTGATTGACTTCCATTCCAAGATGCTGTCCGAATTCCCGCTGTGTCGCCTGCAATACCACGCTCTCCCGAGGCACTTGGTGGTCAGGCACCTAGTCCTCAATAAAGATCGCAACATTCTCCTACGCATGTCAAATGGAAGAATTAACATTCGCTTGGAGCCTGCTCTGTTGTTGGTTGTTCATACCATGGCACCAGGCTGGACCGGCATATCAATTGTGACCACCCGGAGCTCAGCCAAAAAGAAGCAGACTTGGTACTGCAAGAACTGAAACGCAAGACGGGGCTTAAAATGCTGAAGGAGCTCCGGGAGATAGACCCCAGTACAAATGATAACGACACTGGATGTCGAAGATGGTGCTCATGGTGCTGGGGGGCAAGACACGCGCACAGCCCTTATGAGGCATCTGAACAGCGTGTAAATTGTACATTGTAAACATTTTGACAATAAAGCTGATCTTTTGTACAGTGCTTTTGTTTCTTTCTTTTATTTTCCAGTCAAGACAGGCAACATTACAATATGTAGTGTGGCAATATAATAACAGTAAACTGTGCCAGGTGTGTTTATGCACAGTAAATAGGCTCAGCAGCAAACCCACCTTTATTATATATATATATCTTCCTGAGACCCACTGCATCCGTCTGCCATAAACACTATGGAATCATACATGTTAGTTTCGGCCCATAGTGGACTCCATTTTGTGTTGTGTAAAATGGGGGGGGAATTAAAAGTTTACAAATCCCCATGTCCTCCTCAGAGGACAATCATAAAAACATTTAGTTTAAGGTCAATAATATTTAAAATGATATAAATTATCATATTTGTGTATGTGCCCCTGCCATTCCTCCACAAGCTTGCAACATTGATGATAAATAAATGACAAATAAAGCTCAGAGGTTCATGCAACAAATAATAATCCTGTAATATGTATTAAATCCTGCAGAAGAAAGTTTCCCCTCAGCCTTCAGAGGAGGAAGATGTGCAGCATGGTCCGGTGTCTGCAGGAAGTGGAATTTAAATAAATAAAAGTCCACAGAAGAGAGAAGAGTGGGCAACAAGTGCACAGAAAGTTATTTCCATGTGACTAAAGTCTGCATCCTCGATCCTGCCTCCACAGATTCACTGCAGAGGATAGATGTCAAGCTGACAGTGTGTAAACAAGGCAACTTCCGGGTGTGGATTTCAGAATGAAAGAGCAGCAACAGGTTTGATATCTAAAACACCAATTTACACATTCAAACTAAGTGTTTTTATGATCAAAAAGAGTTTTTATAATATAGCATTACTGGTGGAAACAACAGGCAGTAAGAGAGTGCTAAACTGCCTAAATTCCTAGTTTTATGTTATTATTCTTTTATTTTGAAAGAACAGCTAATAGACTTCTGGGATTTTTGTCTTTTTTTCCCGAAAAGTTCACAAACTCTATTTCGTTTATACAAAATATTTAACAAATACTAATGAGGATGTATTCAATTGGACAAAAATAAGATTTTATTGATAATTTTGTTAAATTTACGTGCTACAAAAAGTGTAAACAAGATCACTCACTCCGGCTGCGGTTTTCAGAATAAAAGAGCCAACAGGTTTGACAACTAAAACACAAACTAACTGTTTATATGATCAAAAAGAGTATTTCTAATCTAGTAGCATTACTGGTGGAGACAACAGGCAGTAAGAGAGTGATACACCGCCACTGCTATTAAGAGTTAGATAAAATCAGTCACGACTTGTTAGACCGGTTCTGACACGCCCTGCATTTTTCTCTGATGACGAGAACTCAGACAACAATCAGACTGCAACTCATTCTGCCTGAAACACTGCCAACAGTACATGGAGATCTTTCTAAACCCATTCTGCTTTCACTCAGAGAGAAACCCTACATAATATTTCAGACAGATGTTTAGAATCAGCATCAAGAAACATGTGTCCTGTCCAGTGTTGGGCAAGTTAAATGTTACAGTACATATTACTTATTACTGTCTCTTTTAAGTAATAAGTTACATTACAATATTACTGTCTCTGAAATGTAATGAGTCACACTACTTTTGTCACACTACCAGCTGCTCTTGCAGTAATAAGTAGCACCTTTCTTACTGTCCTAATGTGCACAATGTAGTGACTGCTTTTTCCTCTTTTGTTTTCTTAGTTGTGTTCTCTGTATTTCATATGTCTGTGTTCTGTGTTCTGTGTAACGTTACTGCCTTCTTGGCCAGGTCAGCATTGAAAATGAGATTTTATCTCAATGCTTTTATCTGGTTAAATAAAGGTTAAATAAAATAAATAAATGTTATATACTTTTGAGTTGCTTTCACCAAAATAACCACAAAAGAATGGCTAGGTATTTTAAATGCTAATGTAGTTTAGTGCAGCTCATTATACATCCAGTGAAAGGCAATGTGGTATAGCACAATAACTGTGAAGGCCCTTAAGGCTACTAACAACTTATTACACGGCTAGTTGAATACTCGATTCTGATTGGTCAATTCAGAACACGTGACACGTTGTTAATACAGTAGTACAGACAGTTCAGAGTTTACTGAAGAGTTTATGTGTGTTTCAAGAGTTTACTGTGTGTGTGAAGAGTTGAGTGTGTGTGTGTGCAGAGTTGAGTGTGTGTGCAGTGTTTGAAGAGTTTAGTGTGTGTGAATAGTTTAGTGTGTGGGAGGCGTGTGGTGCAGTGAGAGGCTGTCTTTAACATACTGTCATTCCTTCCTTCATTTCCTATCATACTATCATACATTAACTATTCTCTCTCACACACAAAAAACAACATCTCTTAAACGCACCATCATACTCTCGTACACACACCACTATCGTCTTTCACAAACAACTATAATCTAATAGAACATTATAATAGTGTATGTGAAAGAGGATAGTAGTATGTGTGTAATCGGTAAACAATGTATGTAAGACAGAATAATAACCTATATAAGAGGGAATAGTATTTCATGTTAATAACAATAGTCATATATGTAAAACAGAATAGCAGTGAATGAAAGGCCGAATAATAGCTTATATAAGAGGTAATAATAGTTCATGTGAATGACTAGGTATGTGTATAAAAGAATGATAGGGTGTGTGCATAAGAATAGTTATGAGTGTGAGAGAGTATGATTGAAAAGGAAGTTTTGATTGAAAAGGAAGTTGGACTAAATTCTCAGTTCCTGATTGGCTCTACGTTTTTCGTCTGACGGACACCGC